CTAATATGAACAGAAAGGATATTTGCTCATATTTAAACCAAGGATGGGGAACCTGTGGTCTTGAAGACTTCCTATTGGTCATGTTGCAAGGGTTCAGTAATATTTTTTAAGCAATGTTTGCGCTATGTACTGCTAGGGACCAAGCAGAGATGGTAATGTAGTTCATTATGCCTTGTCTTGAAATTGATTCTAGTATGTGGCTCCTTTAACGTGTTTCAAACAGCAGGGGTGGGATTCTACCAGTTCAGACCAGTTCTATAGAACTGGTTGTTATGATTCTGTGTAGTTCCGGCAAATCATGCCCTTGGCTGGCTCTCCCCCTCTCCACCCACCCCTCCCCTCCTCACCCAGTCAGTCCTTATCGCGTATGCGCAATATTGCATGCATGCTCGACATCAATGACTGCATTCTCCCCCACCCAGTCACTCCTTAAGGTATTTCTTTTTTTCCCCTCCCGATGATCAGCTGTTCCGATGATCAGCTGTGCTGAGATCCCCATCGCTGTCTTTCTGCTTCACCCAGGATGCTTCCCGGAGGCCCAGGAGGTAAAAAGGAGTGGGGGGGGAGTGCAGGGAGGGAGCCATGCCACCCTGCGTTCCATTTTTTGCCTTCCTGGGCCCCAGGAAACCTTCTGGGAGCAAAAACACCCCCCAGGAGGCTTCCCTGGGGCCTAGGAGGCCAAAAGGGGTGGGGGGGGGGGGCAGAGGGGTGCTGCAAAAAAAGAAGCCATGCCCACCCAGCCACACGGCCACGCCCCCCTAATCACACCCACCTAGCCATGCCCACCAAACCGGTTGTTAAAAAATTTGAATCCCACCCCTGTCAAACAGATATGATACTCATACTTCAGTACGCTCTGAAACATATTTCAGTGTGTTCTGAAGCATGGAGGTTGTAGGATTCAATCTGCGTCTGTCACCGGGAGCAGAGATTTAGTCTTCTGAGCTTTCAGATTTGTGTTAGAGCCTATCCTCAGGGAACTTCTCTCTACATGAATGTGTGCTTTGGACTATTCTGTTTATGTGGTGCCTGGTTGTGTGTGGCTTTTTATTTGTTGATTAGGGTGTTGATGGCTGGCTATTAAATCATTGGCTGTTGTTTCCTTCTGCTGCCAAGTCCTCAGCTCCTAAGTACCTGATAAAGTGGTAGTAAATCAGCACTCCTGTTGACTGACAAGGGGGCAATTTCCCAGGTTTCAATCATTTCCTTGACTGTCTTTCTACTTGCTCAGCCAACAATTTTAGTAGCTGTGAAATTGAATGTATATCCTATTATCCCCAATTATTCGGACCCATTTCATGTATTTATACTTATACTTATAGTTATTCTTATTTCTATTATATTGGCAATTTTAATTATAAGGTATTCCTACTATATTGAACTATTAGTATTGTAACAACCATTCAGAAAATGCCATTCTTTAAAATATGGAAGAAAATGCATACATTGGGAGCCTAGTTATTTAATCTAGAATTAGATTAATTAATTAGATTAACAAAAGTTTGCTTAATTCAGGAGGATATACATGTAGATTGCTACTTGCTTCTGGTCAAATTTCTCTTAAATGAAAACAAAATTTGGCAGCCACTCATTGGTAATAGTTTAATTAAAATTGTGCCCAAGTTTTCAGTTGCTTTTCTGTAATTACTACTTACTCCATGGAATTGGTGTCAAATGCCCACAGAAGAATCTTTCTCAATACCTAATCTAAAATAATCAAAAGAATAACCAGCCTGGGATGCTAAATTATTGAGCACCTCTTCAGCCTCTTTGTGAAACAAATTCTCAAGTTATCTGTGACATCTACTGAAAAGAAATTTCAATGATTAAATGGAGCTTTCATACTGAAAGCATCTTTATTCTTTTTAGAGGATTTTAGCCACTTTAAGGTATTTGAGACATTTTCTGGTTTAATTCATGTCTCAAACACTGGCCAGAATTATGCATTAACAAGATTTTGTCTTAAACTATATATTGTCATAATTTTTCCAAACTCTTTTTGAAATTCTCAGGATTACTTAAGGTGAGTTCCCATTCCAATTATTTATATTACATTTTTGATGGAGGTTGTCTTCAAGTCGGTATTGACTTCTAATGACTGCTTGGACAAGTCCTGCAGTTTTCTGGGCAAGTGTTCCAAAGTTTTCAATCTTTCAGAAGTTTTCCAAAATCTTCTGAGAGAGTGTGACTTTATGCTTAAATCAGGACTAGAACTCACCATGTCTTGGCTTCTAGCCTAATGACTCCACCGAATTATTAACTCATATTTTACTAATACAAATCCCATTTTATTATAAGAACATTGAAAGAAAACAACAATAAAAATTGGCTTACAACTCCTGAGATCTAATAAATAAGCATGCATAGGATTAATGAGGGTTAATTAAGTCAAAGACCATTTTGTTGGGATAAATATTATGTTATTTCAGAGTCATCATATGGTGAAATTCCATACTATTAAGGACAAATTCTTATAAGATTTACTTGCAGTGATGCTTTTCATTTTATCAGAACAATGCTCTGGTATCTGGGTTAGAAATCAGGGAAGAATGTTTAAAAATTAAGATAAAGGATTAAAATCATGTTTTTGGGAATTACTATTTTTATTAAAAGCATAAACATACAAAGAAAAATAAGAAAATGAAATAAGAAGGAGGTTATTATACAGGTGGCTGAACTTTGAGGATACTGGCAAACACAGGTCATATATTCTCATCTCAACACAGACTAACTGATAAGCATACAGCAGTGCCTGTTGAGGTATTCCCCGTTAGGAGAATGAGTGCACTCAGGGAAACATAGTGAGAGTGGTGGTGAATAACACAGAACCAGCACACAGATACACTGAATAGTAAAATGTAAGTTTTACTTCCTGTAAACAGGTAAACAAAGTCCAACAAACAGTCCAAATCATACACAGTTAAAGCAGTTAGTATTCAAAATAATCAGTCCAGGGATAATCCAAAAACGAAGTCCTTTTCTTTACCAATATCATAAACAAAGTTCAGTAAACAGAGTTTGCGAATAGTTGCAAGACTCACAGCAATTCAAGCAGAATGATGATCAGGCAAAAGGCAAGAGGAAAGCAAAGGAAATGCAAAAAAGAACAAACCAGGTTTCTAGCTCCATCTTATGGCCATTGAGGAACCTCATCCAATCACAATTACAACATTCTCTTAAAGATACAACAGTATTAATGACTATCCTGGTTTATATATTGCCAACCCAACCGTTAGGTGACTATCATTCCTAACAGTGCCTCTTTATCCCATGAAGCATGATGGATTTTTGCCCATCAGACAAATTAACTAAGAAGTTTCATGAATTTTCATTCCTCTATTCATAACAAAACTAGGGATATTGTTTGGCCAGTCAAGCTTATAACAGTTCTTGTGTTCAGGAACTGCTATTTGTTTTTCTTGCAATCTTTGTCTTTGAATTTTACTTTCAGCTTGAGCTAGATTCTGTATGTATTCCAAAACAACCTGGGAGACAATCATTTTAATATATGTGAGGTTCGAATTAATGTATTCTTCCCAATTTGGTCTGATTTCTTATTTGGAAAAGGTTCTGTTTCAAGAGCTCTCAGAGAAGCTTTTTGTTTCAAGCATTCTTCTCTGAAGGGCTATAAGATTATCTTTATTGGATGGCATCTTCTTTTTCAACAGCTTTTTAGTTATGATCCAATTTAAAGGCAAAAAATCAATATGAAGAGAGATTAATTTCTCTAACAGCAATTAGTTTATGTCTCTCCCCCTCCCTCCCTCCCTCCCTCCTTCACTTTCCCCCCCTTTTTTTCTGATATCTAAGGGTACACTCTTAATTCATTCTACTTAACCTGTCACAGATTATTCTGAAGAATTCTAGAAAGTATAATTTGGGAACTAAATATCATGAAATATGTGTTGTTGTGCTGCCTCAATTACACACATCACAGTAAATGGATTTTATTCAACACATACACATACACACCCATACACACACACAAACACAAACACACACGGCAGTTCCCCCCAAAAGCCCATACAATATACATTCCCTGCTTCTGTTTTGTGTAACAAAGTTTGGAATTTTGTTACACAAAACAGAAACACAGAACAAGGAACTAGATTGTTCTAGCAATGCCCATCTCTTAGGGCAGGATTAAATAAGCAATGCTAGTGCAGCCCTTCATAGAGGACAAGGTTGTCTCCTTCCAAGTACTTTGGCCAACCATCATTGCAACTGTCTCCTCTCTGCCGTTTGCATCCTTGGATTGGAAGGAGGCATGGGCTCCACCTCCTCATACTCGCTGGCCACTGGCAGCTGCTCATGTCCCTTGCCTGGAGTTTCTAAGCTAACCTGTTGCAGCTGCGACTTCCTTGGCTCAGGCTCAGCCTGCCGTCCGTCTGATCAACCCAGCTGCAGCTGCTCTGTTGGGCTAAAGCCCTCCATTCCCTGATCCAAACCTCCATTCCACTCTGCTTCCCCTGAGGTGCCAGGATCTGGCTCATCCTCCTCTTCCTCCTCTGGATTCACATCTGGAGAGGGTTCCGAAGGCACATCAATGACAGTTATTAGTCTCTACTCCTGTACACACACATAATACAATGTATACAAAAATAAAACTTCCTATTGCCGAGATTTATAACAAGAATGGAATTAGAATTAAATCAAATGTGTAGTTTTTAGAATGAGATAGTATAATGCTGGCTTTAAGTATATGTATTCTTTTTTATCGGAGCGCAAGACTTAGAGAATCATTTCCTAATCCTTTTTCCTAAAGTTATTTCAATACACACAGTATAGATACATCTCTTACTGCATTTGTTCAAGTTTCTGAAATAGTTCTGGATTGTTCGTCCTAACCAGAAGTTCAATTTCAGCGCGAGAAAGTCATTTTTTATTATGTGGACTTTAGTTATTTGTATATCTGTTGCCAATCACTGAATTTCAGCCAGAACAACACTGACTGAAATTTAATTGAAAGTGTGCTAATGTCTTGCTTTTTCTTTTATCAGGTGCAAGTGTAATCTTCATGCCACTGGTTGCAAAATTGAAAATAAAAAATTATTATGCGAGTGTGAACACAATACCACAGGCCCAGATTGTGGGAAATGTAAGAAGAATTATCAGGGACGTCCTTGGAGTCCAGGTTCCTATCTGCCCATTCCTAAGGGCACTGCAAATATCTGTGAGTACTTGTGCACAATATTACAACTGTAAAACTTTGAGACTTGGGGTTAAAAAAAATTCAGAACCAAACTTAAAGCATGTCTGAGAAGCCATAGCTTACTGGAAAATTAAAATATTTATGGTTTGCCCAGTGTTATGCATCTTTACTTATTTGGGATAAGTCGCTGGGCTATGTTCTTGGATAATGGTACAAAAGAAATTATCTGTTCAAATAAATCAATAAGGAAATTATGACATCTCTCTTCTATCAAATTTGCAATGTACACATACACACACACATGTACATGTACCACATACAAACACAGAGTTTACACGTAAGATAGGGTTTTTCTTTATGAACACAGAACTAAGATAGTATTAAATGTCTAAAAATCTAATGAACTGAATTTTAAGTTAAATTTCTTTAGTCTTTATGTAATGACTACTCAACATTGGCTCATATGCGGTTGTCAAATTCTGATCTTTAAATAAAAGTGCAGAAATGATTCGGTTGATACTCAATACTTTGTTATGAGGTCAATGATCCAACCATTTGCTGTGATTTTGTAAGTGTGTGAGCCAATTATGCAAATGTTATTGCAACTTCCCAATCTGATTAACAAATATATTGCAAATGTCTCATTATGTGACTGTACTGTTCTTTACCAAGTAATGTGTCAGTGATTTTCACATGAATTTTACTTATAATGCAGTATTAAATAGCTTGACTGAAGACTGACTGACTAAACTTTTTATGAGGTTAGATAACCTGAGTAGGTTACAAATTGTTTATTTTTTAAGAATGTTTTAGACTAACTATTATTATTCACCAGTGAATAGTCATGCATGAACCCAGCATTTTTGTTAGTCTTAAGACTTTTTGTTGAATTGTGGCCAGTTTTGGATGTGTGTGAATTTCAGGGATTGTTTATCATAGTAATGTGTTTTAGTTTCATCTATGTGTCCATTGGCTCTTAAAGATCATGGTGTAATGTTCCTTAGAATGGATCTGATGTCTTCTAAATATCCGTATGTTCATGCAATTACTATACAAAAGACACTTTGTTTCTCCTGCTTCCAAATATCAATCATTCTTGTAGGATTATTCTGAAGACCTACGGTAATAATTTTGATGAGAGGGATAAAAGATGGAGTACAATTATCTAAATCAGTGGGACTTATATACTTTTGACTCTAACACTGCCTATACATTTGTATCTCTGTGTTTAATAGGAATATTGAGAGTAACACAGTATAGATTGCAGACAAGAATGAGGGGAAGAGGCATTAAAGTACAATATCTGTCAATGTCTTTGAATCCCTAGCAATTAGATTTGCATACTTTTGAATAGGGGGGAAAAGCTAGCAAAGAATAAGCCATTAAACCTTGCACTGTAAATTTGTAATTTTGTAATAGTTCTAGAGTCATCCTATGTAAGCTGGGCAGCCATATAAATTTCTTGAATAAATAAATTAAATTAAAATTTCTAATAGCTACCCATCTCACATATGTGACTTCAAGTGGCTTACAATGAAATAAATAACATACCTAATACACAAAATGTTAAAATAAAATAAAACACATAGCAGCCAGACATCATCCAACCAATTATCCACACAAGGGGATAAGCTCTATATAACATGTCCAGGGCCCCAGGCAAAGGCCGTAAACTAAGTTTTCAAGGCCTTATGGAATGCCTGCAAAAACACGGCCAATCTAGTCCCTAGAGAAATGACCTTCCAAAGGACAGATGTCATAGCAGAAAAGACTCTCTTTCTGGATCCTACCAGCCAACGCTCCTTCACTGACTGTACCCAAAACATGATCTCCTGATGAATTGGATAGGATGGATAGAGATAAATGGCATTTTATAAATATTTAATAGCTCTGATTTGCATATAATTAAAATATAAACTTTGGAAGTCATTATTCAGTGAATAACAACTTTGGAGAAATGGGTGGTTCTGTGATTTACATAGAACTGAGGGTGGGACTCTTGCTAAATAATTCTGTAAACACTAAAACTTTGCCAATATGCTCTATGGTCTCGCAACCTATCTGTATGAATTCGCAGATGTCCACTCAGCTGCAATGACAGGTAAGTACTAATTCTTAGTGTGCTTCAGGTTTATGGCAAAAACAGCAATATGCCATATTCGGAATGCTATCTCACACTTCAAAGCAACAGCTGTGAGGAATCAAGCCTCATAAATGAATATTTCAGGAAAGAGAACCTTATCTAGCTTAATGTAAAAGTCATAGTCTAAGTAAGAAGCCATGATGAGAGCATGAAATTATAAAATTCCTAGCAAGCAAGATGAGAAAAAGTGAACCTTCAAAAAGAATGAGAAAATATTTTATAAAGCATTAACTTCTAGTGGAAAGGACACTTTGGACCACTGAATTAAAACTTAGAAGCTGCGTTCAAGCTACTCTCTTAAGCATTTTGAAAAATTATGGGATTGTTTTTTCTCTCATAGAATTCTGAATTGAGTTAAGGTATAGAAAACTCAATTTATCTTCACTAATTTCTATGATACCTCCTATTCATTCTAGTGTGAGGAATGTCTATTTTGTTTTTGTTTTTTTGTTTTTTGTTTAGAAATTCCACCCTTATCAAATTCAATTTATACATTACAAAAATAGCATCTACCCACCCACCCCCAAAAAGCAGATAACTGATTGGATTTTTCCTAAAGAAGACAGCAGGATTTATCAGGTTAGGATGTTTGCATATGCTATCAAAATTTGATCAGAGTAACATTCAAAATGAAATTTAAATAGAATTTCAGAAAAGCAGCTTTATCTATATAGACATATATGGCATATATAGGCATTATGATGACAAGAGATAGAAAGAGAGAGATCCCGTTTATTTTCTCTATCATTGGCTGCAATTAACTTAAATGGGTAAATGGTCAGGTCCTTGATCACTTGTTCTGGTACTATTCTTAAACATATGTTAATATTAAGGATTGTAGCTTCCAGTACCATATATGTCTTAGAAAAGAAATAAACCAAATTTAACTAATTACTTCAAGTGGAATGTGTTGTATTCTACATCTGCATCCAACATACTACATGGACAATGCTTTATTGGATATCTATTGTAGCCTTTGAGCAATATCCTACTGTATGCCTATTACTGAGTTACAAAAAAAAATGGAAGGGGTCTACGGCTAAATTATAGGTTATGGGATGCATGAAAAATCCATAGTGATTGTAAATTTGCTCTTGAAGCACACTGAACATAATACTCAGATTGAAACAAAGGATTAACTGTTCTTTTATTATTCTATTCTGGTATTTAATGAACATTCTTTTGCCTTTGCAGATGGAATGATGAACCAGTTGATCTTACATATTCAGACTGTCTTTCATAAATGTTATTCTCTGGGGCCTTGCAGGATTTAATTGGTTCCTTTTCTCTTTAGGGTGGGGATGCAACTACTGTACTCTAGTCCCATTCTTATGAGAAAATGGCACCTTGTCCTAAGAATGTATTAAATGCACCATGCATAATTCACTTTTGAGCTAGTTAGCTACTTCATAAAATTACTGCTAAATGTGTTACTCTTGTTCTCTTTTGTAACTTATTAACAAAGATCCTTGAAGCCTCATTCAAGCATTAATATTCATTGGATACACAATGAGGGCATATAGTCCTTCTCCACTTGTTCATGATGGCAGTACCTTAACAAGGCAAAATATCTATGCACCCATGTGAATGTTTGTAAGAAGAGAGCCTACATGTGTACAAGTATATATAGTATACATCTGTATATAGATGTGGATCTTTGGTTATTCGGGTTTTCTCCCGCGTAAGATTGGAAGTATCTAGGCAACGTTTCGATGAAGTCTCATTCATGTATATAGATCTATATATAGTACTAATATCTGTATATATGATTATGTAAAGTAGAGGTGTATAGTGTATAGGTTTCACCCAAGCCAGGGATTATTTAAAATGCTTGGCTTTAGCTAATCTGTCCTTTAGTTTTTGATACTTATACTTCATCTTGATATCAGTGCAGCCATGTAAAAGCTCTACTGTATTAGTATCAACATGTTTCCATTCCTAACCAATATTATTTTTCTTCTTCTTTTTTCCAGGTATGCCCAGTATTTCCAGCATTGGTAGTAAGTAATAAAGAGCAGACCTAGGCCAGCTTGGCTTGTTGTCCAGACTCTGAAAATCTATTTTTCCAACATCTATTTCTGTTTTCTTTAATGACTGCTTTGTGATAACTGGAAAAATAGTATTATCTCCTTCCTTCAACATCTGCACATCATAAATATTTATGTTGAGAGGGACAAAAGCAGTTTTTAAAATTATATTGCTTCAGTGCTAAAACCACCTACTAAACCTCTAAGAAGAGTAACTAGATAAAATATAATTTAATAATACACATTTTCCTTTAATGACCAGATTGTAGTTTTAACAATATTTAAGCCATTTCTATTTTTTTTCAAATAAACATTTTTTATCAATTCTCCATTGATTTTCCACAAAGGAACCAATCTATACACATAATTTGAATCATTTTTACCACCATGGATTGCTACCAAAATTTCTGACTGGTGGCCCGTGAGGTGTCAATGTAAACTAAGATTTTGGCATCTTTGCGGTTAATCTTACAAAATTCTTAGAAAGATTCTTAATTTTATTTTAAATATGGAAATAAAAATGTAAACTGCAATTTTATGAATGTCATTTAGTATAAAAATAAAATAAATTTAATTTAATTTTGGAATCCTATGGATGCCATCTAAAATGGTCATAGTGACATGGTGCACCCTGCTGCCAATTGCTGGCTTATCCTGTGGTGCTCAGAAGTTTTTGATGACAATGTTATAATACTTAAAGAAGAAGAAAAAATAAAAACCTAGTTTAAATTAAGGATATTTCAGATAATTTTAATAATATCCTTGTTTTTATATAAAATATTTAAATATAGTGTGTATTGGAAATATTTTAAATACTATATTTGATTAAGTCTTTTTCCGTAACTTTATAGATTGCTAAAAGAAACGAGTCCATAGCAAATTTTTGGTCAAATATACATTGTGACATCACAATTCAAAATGTACCCTTAGATACTTATGACTTCATAACACAAGTAGAAAAGTGTGTTATGATATACACTTCATCATTTGCTTCCCTTGGATAACCATTCTTACATATGATTGTGAAAAATTAAAATGTAAAACTAATAGCGAAGTAAAGCATGTCCATGTTCCAATAATATTGCCATAGTTCTGCCAAATTTGCCATACATAAAACAATACTTTCATTTAGTGGTTCCCAAACTTTTTCAGTCCACCGTCCCCTTTGTGCTACAAACTTACCCTCGGTGCCCCCCACCCAGGGTTGGGATTTAAATTTCTGTGGGCGTTGGCCTAATTTGAGGGCATGGCTTGCTGGTCACATGACTGGCTGGGCGTGGCTTGCTGGTCACATGACCGGATAGGTGTGGTTTGGTGGTCATGTGACTGGGTGGGCGTGCCCAGGTGACTGGACTGGCAAACCAAATACAAGTGGTCCTCACTTAATGGCCGGTTGTTTAGCAAGTGTTCTAATTTATGACTGGCCTCCCCAGAGTTACTTGACCTGTTTTTGGAGTTTTGACAGCCATGCACATACATAAACACACACTCCCTTCTAACCCTGCTGGAGTAGGTCATTGGACTAGAATCAGCAAAGCATCTCAGATTAGATTCTAGTAGTGAATAAAATCTAATCAGAGATGCTTTGCCGATTCTTGTTGATTTGTTTTATTTTTATTTCTTTATTTTATGTTGCTGAATTGCATTGACATGTGTGTCCCTTCTTGTGCACAACTCAGAAGCTTTTGTGATTTTTTGCAGCAAAAATTACTGACCTCTGGCTTTGCCCAACTTTTCAAACTGCCACGTTTTAGATGCCAGCCCCACAGGTCCACCCCATTGAGCCCGCTACACCGGATGGACTTGCCCAAGCAAGTCCAAGCGAAGCAGGGGACTAAGTCAATGGGGTGAGCCTGAGAGAGGGAAAGAGAGAAAGAGAAAAGAAAGAGAGAGAAAGAAAGAAGGAAGAAAAGAAAGAGAAAAGGGAAAGAAAGAAAAAGGGACGGATGAAGAAAGAGGGGGGATGGAAGGAAGGGACAGAAAGAAAAAAAAATAAAGAAGGGGGGAGGGAGGAGAAAGATAATGAGATATCTATTCTAGTCCAATCACCTGCTCCAGCAGGGTTAGAAGGGTGTGTGTGTGTGTGTGTGTGTGTGTGTGTGTGTGTGTGTTCTCCTTGTAATTTACCAGTACATTTTGGTTTTGCTTTCTTCAGAATTGGCACTTTAAAACATTGGGGAAAAGTAATTTTTTAGGGTGGAGATCTAGTCCAATGGATCCTGTTTAAAGCCTCAACAAAATGTGAGAGCTTCCTGATAGTCTTGACCATGTTTCGTCCACAAAATCTTTAATAGCCAAAGATGTTTCAATGTGCTGGCAAAGATGTGGCGGAGGCTTCCTCCCTCCATCTCCTCTCCTTCTCGTCTCGTGTGCACCCTCCAGGCCCCACCACAGTCGGCTCCATGGCTGTTCACTGCTCTTGCAGCACCTATGCAGCACACTCAAATTTAGTGCACTTTACTCCTTCCCCTCCTCCTCCTCCTGGAGCCCATTACAATGCGGTGCATCGGAGCTGCCGCATTCAAGGTATCGGCTCCGGAGCGGTGCAACAGTCAATGGGGTGACCCTGCAAGGCCTCGAACGCCCCCCTGCCGCCTCTTAGCACCCCCCTGCCAGCCCCCTTGCCTCTTTGAGCCCCCCTAAGGCATCCCACCACCCCCAGGGGGCGGTACCGCTCACTTTGGGAACCACTGCTTTAGTTATTCCTACCTGTTGTTTGACTTCTAATTTTGGCCCAAATATATTTAGTTTCTATTTATTGCCAATGTTCTACTTTATTGCTATCGTTAATATAATCTACAAATAGCAAAACTGCTTCTGTAATCAATAAAATTATAAAGAAAACTATACCAGTTTAGGTTGAATTTATTGTAATGTCACTATTTTCTGTAAACTAATCTACTCAAATTTAGATAGGAACAGGAAGAAATTGAATATGAAATATACTGAACTTGTAAGGGAAAAATGCATTAAAATTGAATCTTCCTAAAGAAGATTTATTTATTCACTCAATAAATATGATTCTGAACTAAAAGTATCTGAAATATCCTATTCAGAATAGTTGAAATTTGCCTGGAATGTCACCTTGAATGCATTGTTTACAAAAAGGATGAATGAATAAATAAATACGAGTATTCTACATATATTACTTTTTGTCCCTCTGACTGACATTCTTTTTATATTTTAAGACATTTTGCTCACATTTGAATTATTAACTCCTGGGAATAAATTAGCCATATTGCTTGATCTGGAAGGGTGGGAAAGATAGAAGAGAACTAAAGAAAGTCAGGAGGAAAATACTATTGTTCCTATATAAAGAGACGAACAAAAGTGTCTTAAGTAACAGAAATGGATATATGGTAAAATAGTTCTTGTGCATTTGATTGTTGTTACTGTTTTGCATGTATTTATGTGGTTGTAATGTCACCTTACACTTTACTCATGGAGCTTTTTTCACTGCATTTGCCATCTCTGAGCATCAGCAGGTTATGGCCTTAACAGAGAAACTCAAACAGTTTTAATCAGAGATGATCTGGAAGGATGCACTATTGCCTTCTTTGAATTTTGGATGCTTTATACAAAATACAGTGATCAGTATCATTTGCTTTTCTGAAGGATTCTTAAAAGGATTTTGAAGAGTATCTTCAAAATGCCAACATCTTTTATGCATTAAAGGTAATTCTAGTTCATGTTCTAGAGTTACTGGAATCTGGTTCATTGATATGATACTCTCACAATGCACCCTATGAAAGAAGACAATGCACATTCTGATCTACTGTATTTCACAGTAATGAACACAGCCTTCTAAATAGATAGTTTACAGATAGTTAGATGATAGGTAGGTAGATAGAGAGAGAGAGAGAGAGATACTGTAGATAGATAGCACCAAGTTATTTACATAATTTTAAGAAGCTTTTTTTTTACCTGTGCATACACAGAATATGTGTTCATGTTATACATATTTTTTTATACATATTTTCATATAGTAGAGCAAAATGTTCTCAATATTGCCTGCTTCGGAGTACAGATCACGTTATTTTGACTTTACCAGTTCAGTAGAGAAAGGAGAAAAAATGAACATAAACCATTAAGAAAGAATTTTTTTAATGTAGGTGCTTATGTTAAATTACTGAGATCCCAGTGATCAGAAAGAGACTATCAAGGATGAATAATAAACACACACATACACAAAAACACGCCATAAAAATATATAATTTTACGCACATGCATATACATATATGCATGTGTCTGTATTTTTTCTCATCACAGTGAAATTTGCAATTACAAAGTATGTGAGAGTGTGTGGTAAAAAAAAAAAATTGGATTAAATCAGTAGATCAATCCTGTTTATGCACAGTGCCAAGAATAGTCATTTTGACATCCTTTCTGATCATCTCCAGGATAAATAAAACAGTTTTTCCCATTAAGGTCATTTGTACCTTCAAGTGTCTTTCAGTTGAGTAATATGTACTTGGTAATTTCTTACATACTTGATTCCAATGCTGACCTTTTCAACACTTTTCAGCTCAGGCTGGGGAAAAACAAAAACTAAACAAAACTGGTGAGATGGTTAGCAATTAATGAGTCCCAAAACCAACTTTAGAACACTATGAACCTTTTTAATAAGTTTATTTCAACATAACACCTCAATACAATCATTTTTAGATGATCATAGTATAGGAAAATATGTCAAAAATATTTTTCAGATTGAATATTTGAGAATAATCCTTGTTCTTTTGTTCATTTCTTAGACAAGTGTTAGGTAATTAACAATTTCAGTGGTTCAGACTCTCCTGTTACCAGAGACATGATACAATTGTTCACCAGGTTACTTCAAATTGTTAAGTAGATTGTCATATTTTTAGTTTGTCTGAATATAAGAATTATTTTAATCTAGACGAGGGGTGTCAAACTTGCAGTGTCATGTTGTCATCACATGATGTATTGTGACTTTTTCCCCCCTTCACTAAACT